AGGCAAGCATAAGTCAAGTCTATTCAAAGTTGTTTCAGTGAAAGGACTCTGGTGGCAATAACATGGAAGGGGCGGTATGGGAATAAGAGGAGAAAGTGGGTTTATTAATTATAACAAATAAGAATTAAGCTTGCCTGAAGTTTGAAATTTTGAACAATTTAATTAGGCAATTTTAAGAGTTGATGGTCAGTTCTGGCAAGGAACATCACTGGACTGGAATTATAGTTTCTTAATAAAGGCTTTCTGGGCTTTAATTACTGAAGCCTGATTTTCTGAACTTGGTATCTTGCTGGACTCAACAGAAACCCCAGCAGCTCCCCAGGCAATAATGTTCAAAAATACTCTTGAAGAACGAATAATTTCACCTCCCATTAAAAAAAAACATAATAAAAACAGCTACTGGATGGAAATTCTGTTGTTGTTTTGGTATTATATAGATTTTATTAATTTTTCTTCTTCCATAGTATTTTAAGCTTACTGGGCTTCAGAGGAAGAGATGTACTTTGTTTTAGTTGCCTTTCAGTTAAATATTTCCAGAGAATACCTCAATTACTAAAGGAATAAATAAAAGCAAGATAGCTATGGAATCAGTTGACTTAAAACAGGTCTGGGAAATGTGTGGATCTCCAAACGTTGTTGGACTGGAACTCCAATAATCCTTCATCATTGGCTATTCTGGCTGGGGCTGATTGGAGCTGGAGTTCAAGAACATTTGGCAACTGTTGACATCCATGAGAGTGAAGCAGAGATTCTGATCCAGTTTTTAGTCCAAATGTTTGGACTAAAACCCAAGCAGATTAATTGCCCCCTGACTTGGGACCAACCGGCTACTCTTGTCAGGAAGGCCACATGTTCTAATGTCAAGAAACACTTGTTCCTTAGTTCTATTACAACTTTATCCGCTAGATGTCTCTATCAGTTTGAGCAAGAAACGTTTGGTTTCTCAGCAGCCCAAAGGTTGTTGTGTACTCGTATTTATATAGAGAAGTGAAAAGTGGTCTCAGGCTGTAGGCCAGGTAAGACATGACGCACCCTCATGTGAAGTTGATTTAGGAGCGTGCAGAGTTACTCAAGGTGTTTAAAAGGTAACCTGTTCCTGTTACTCATCATGATGGTGGAAGAAAAGTTAACTTGCTATATTGTTTGCTACAGTGCTTGTGACTTTTCCATTGCTCAGTTACATTTTGAAGTGGGGAAAAAAAGCCCTTAGCATTAAGAACAGAATGTTATTTTTAAAAACTAAAACTCCTGAAAATATCTCTAAAATAATCTATCTATCTATCTATCTATCTATCTATCTATCTATCTATCTATCTATCTATCTATCTATCTATCTACTTTATATCCTACCTTTCTTCTGACATAGGATCCAAAGTGGCTCACAACTGAGGGATCATTTAGCCATCATTATTTTTAGCACAATGATGTGAATAAACTCACTCATGCATTCTGTGTTTGTTATTCACACTATGAAGCCACATTTCTGTGCATCTCTGAGAGTTCGGTTGCTCACTAGCACTCAAATAAAATAGAGTCAATAATGTGAATGGAGTTGATGTGAATGTATTCGAAACACGTTCAAGGCATGCAGAGTTTAATCCTGGATCTATTTGCATCAATTATTCACACTGTTGCTGATGCAAATCTCTTTTTAAAACTTGGTGGGGAAAAAACACCACGGTATCGATTGTCCCACCTTGTAGGATTTTTGACAGCCCCCCCCCAGCAACTTAATTGGGTATATTTGGGATGCATGTGAACAATGGAGATTCAACCCAGATTCATCCTGAATTATTTTCACCATCTGAATAACCCCCGAGGTAAAACCCTGCAAATAAAAAAGTTAAAACACAATTAAACAAGCTATCATATTAAAACATCATTAATTTTAAAAGCATAAATCACTTTAAAACAATATAATAAAAATAAAAAACACAGCACACTCACCTATAAAAAGGCACTTTTGGACAACCCATTAACCATCAAATGCCTATTTAAATTTTAAAAAAGGCCTTCATTTGCCAGTAACAAAAGGAGAGCAGAGAGGAGGCCAGCGTAGTCTCCCACAAAAAGGAATTCCACAACCTGGAAGCAGCCACTGAGAAGGCCCTATCCCATGTTCTCACCCAGG